TTTGTCTTTGCGGTCTCTAATCACGATGCCAGGGCGATTAGCTTTGATTGTTCTGTCGGTGTCTATTGGAAAGTCCCATAAAATTTTTACAGGTTCTATCTCTGTAACCGGGTCTGGGTGGTGTTCATACCAATTTCTTGCAGTTTCATTATTATTAGTAGTAGTATTAGTAGTAGTAGTAGTATTAGTAGTATCACAAAGTAGTGTTGAATTTTTATATACTAGAGCTAAGTTCTTAAGTTGTCGTCTAATGAACGAATTATTTTGCTAGACTACTTCATCACATATTTACCTTCATCACCGTTCTGTCCATCCTTATCACACGTTAATATAAAACCATAAGTACCAGTTTTTGCGCCTTTCGGCTACGATCAAAGTGTAGTGGTAGTTGATGGATGAAAGAGATTGACCGAAGGAATATTGTACGTACGCATGGGCTGAATGTGAGAGTAGTTTCATTTTTTAGTAATAGACTTTGCATCACAAGTCCTTTTCCCCAGCCCCCTTTTTCTTCTGGCCTTGTATCGAACTGATGCACTTATATTTGGCAATAAATATTAAGATCAAGATCAAAGTGTAGTATATGTTTTTATCAGCTTAATCTGACTCTCTCTCTTCTTTCTTTCATTCACTTTCTCATTGAAACCAAGTAGTGTATTTTCCCTTCTTTCTACGCGATCAAAGCAGAATAGCTCGTTATTTATTAGGTATTGGCAGGGTGTAGTGGTTGTGTGAACTAACGAAAACAAGAACAAACACAATTATAATCAGAGCCCGGTCTGTTGTGCTATTTACCCATAGCTGGGGAAGAAGAGGATTCATGCTTTCCCTAAGGGTATTAGGATGTAAGTGAATGTAATGGATTCGACTGGAACTCGAACTCGGCTCTACGATTCCACAATCCAAGGCGCTATCCATTACACCACCGCGACAGTTATAATAGGATTATTATTATTACTATTCGAACAAACACGTCTAGTATAGGAAGAAAAATAGAAATTGATAAAAGAATATTAAAAACAACAATGAAAGAAAAAAGGAGAAAATAATTTATCCCCTTAAATAAAAATCACTAATTATCATTGATCCTTTTTGTATATGCCTGGGGGTCGATGAGAGATCAAGGATTCCAGGAAAGTGTGAATAGTTTATGGATCAATGATTTAAACCATATTAAATCTTTTCCATACAGATAGACATGAAGACATACATTTTATAAGTTGTGATGTTAAAAACTCAAAGAGAACAATTTTTACACTGTTTTCATTATTCGGACTATTGTTCTCATCTTTTTCGCCATATTTATTACAACGTTTCGGCTGTTGTACGCTCCGGTCTTCTTCAGGTGGTTGGAATGTCGAACTGAACCCTTTATTTCGCTCACTGGGGTAGACTGTTCTAGTTCCACGTGCCATGTTTTTAATGGATGTCAGTTGCTAATTATCTCCTGTTAATTTCCCTCTCCAAGTTCTCCACCGCCTTAACCAGGTATTGAACTCACACTCTTTGGGTCCTGTCTCTGGATCTAACTAACGCCTTAATCTAGTGATTATATCACAGTCTATGTATTTTCTTCATAGTAAATTGTTTACTCTTCTAATTACAGTATCATATTTTTTACACAAATTGGAAGAGAAAGCAATTTACTAAGACGAAAATAGTCGTTAATATCCAGCTAGTGAGATTCATTTAAAAACCTGTCAAGATCTGAAGAATGAATCGGCTGGACCATTATCGTAACATCATCAAGCGCACAAGCCTAAACAAGAGATTAACTACTCAATTCAGTCAGTTAAGTACCATGCGTAATACACGCTTAGGTGATCATGTATCTTTCGATACATGAGTGACGAGGCAGATTTTTTCCCGTAGTAGGTTGGCATTTCTTTCTGCGGTAGACCAGTTGCCATCCAAGTCTACAGAACTCGGTCTGTCCTGCCATTTACTAATAGCTATGGAGGAGAAGAAGAGGATTCATACCTTTCCCAAAGGGTAAGCGAATGTAATGGACTCGACTGGAATTCGAACTCGGCTCTCCGATTCCTCAATCCGAGCCGCTATCCGTTACTCCACCAAATTTTCGTAATGACTTTTCTTCTGGTTATAATCATTTCATTTCGACAATCGAAACTGGCTTCGAATTTTAAATGGTGTTTTTTATCAATTTCAGCTTTTATGACAACTACAACTTTTGTCATGTTTTAGATAGATATTTATTCAAATATCTTTTCTTTTTTCTTTTTTTTTTCAGCCCTGCAGGTCTTTCCAGTTAATGCCAGATCGGGTAAGTATACTACATAGATATAAATAGTGAAAACATAGAATATGCCAGATGGTTAAGAACAAAGTATATATAAAGAAAAGGATATTTAAATAAAAAAAAAAATAGACTATTTTGGTAATATAATATCATTACATTTCATACATATGGTACGAATGGTATTGTTTGGTGCACAATTATCAGGCGTTTTAACAAATAACTATCCTAAAAACGCTTGATAATTATGCACCAATCCAATGATAAAAAACATACACCATAATTTTAAGACAATTCAATCGAAAAAATTAGACGATTTACTATGAAAAGAGAAAAACTCTCTACTACAAAACGAATGGCAATGAGGCCTCGGAAGCCATTCTATGTTCAGGTCAGGTGGTTTCTTGTTTATTTTGGACATGAACAGCCTTCAAGGAGCCATCGGTATTGTGGAGTCCGACCGTGTGTGATGATGGTGTGGAGGACAAACGGGATTGAGGGCCCCAGGCAATGCTTGGCGACTCTCGCTATCTTATCAACATTCGCTTTTTCTAACCTACATTTATATACGTTACAAATTAAACTAAGTTCTACTGACTATTAACGGATAAATTTTTTTGTGGATTTTGACGCCATCCAGGAATCTTTTTTTTCCAAATCTTTGAACTTCTTTTCCTCATGCTAAGTTTCGAAAAAAAAACACTTTATAAAATTCACTATTTTTTATCCATAATGTTGAATGTGTTAAAATTATTCAACTTTTTAGCAAGAAAAATCACAGGTTGATGTTAAAAATTACCGCAAAACAAGGTTGATTTATTTAACATGGGATGATCTGTTATGACATGTCTCTATTCTGTATTTAGATACATTGTATTTATTTTCAATTTTTCCATTTGAATTGTTCACCTATATTGCATATGATCCATTATTTTACATAATTAGGGTACAATAAAATTTGTATTTTATGTGAATATTACCTTATATAGATGTAGTAAAGTGGGGTGTGTATTATAGATTGGGGATGTATCATAGATTAGGGGATGCAGGCAAGAGACCTTTGCACCGACTCTGGTGCTGCCGGTAGTACATCTGCCACCCGGACATAGCAGTCCAAGGGATTCAAAGGTCACATATTGAAAGTGATGTTAGAGGGAAAATTTTCGGTCAGCTATGCTAAGGACACGTAGGCTAAGTGAAAAAAGCAGCATCACGTACGTCCACCTACTATCCAGGGCTTGGCCACTTTGTCCAACATATTGATGAATGTAACAACATTAATTCTGATGTCTTGAGAGAAGTGGAATGGTATAACATGACCCTTATTGCTCCCGATTCCAAATACCTAGGTTATATGAACTCTGTGTATAGCACCTTGGAAGGCAGAGCCGCCTGTCGTTTCTTCTGTTCTCTTTCTGCTCCTCGTGAATGTTTCTCTCAACGGAGAAAAAAGCAGAACTTGTCGGGATACTTGGGGTGCTTGTGTTTGGCGGGCGTTCTAAGATCACACGTTTCTCCTAGATTTTGTCAGATAGGAATTGTCTTAACCCTATCATGTACTCTATACCCTTATACACCAAACGTTGATTCCGTCACCTTCAGCTGCTCAGAGATGGTCCTCATCGACTTGATAATGTTCTTTACTTGATGGTCTAATCCGCCGTCCTTACGATGTCTGACCACTTAGAATTTTTCTTTCTGCGAGCCACGGAAGTCATGTATCCGCGAGAGGCTTCACGCCCTTTCTTGAACGTTAAGCTCCTGGCAACTCTTAAGAAGCTATCTCCGAGATGCCATGGTTGGTGTCGAGTGCTTTTCCTTCCCTGAGCCAAATTAAGACTTGATTGATTCGTTTTCTACGGCTTATCAACCACTTTCAGATTATTTAAGGCCAGAAAATATTTTTAGATTGTAAGAATTAGGTTTAGTTTGGTTTGGTTTAGTTTGGTTTGGTTTAGTTTGGTTTCGTTTGGTTTCGTTTGGTTTACAGCATATCAACCTCACTGAGTTATTGAATGCCAACATGATTTTTATCGCTGGTAATAATTTTTTCAAAAAGGTATTGTTGCTAATAATTTTTTTTCCAATAAAATGTATTGCTAGTAGTATTTTTCCTTCAAAAATGTATTGTTGGTAATATTTTTCTTTAAAAATATATTGCTTGCTATAACGTATTGCTGGTAGTAATTTTTCCTCAAAATATTTATTGCTGGTATTAAAAACTATTTTTCCACTTTCATAGTGTTTTGATCCCAGTTTGGGTTTTAGCTATTTGCCCATATTTGGGACCCCTAATAGCTACTAATGTAAGGGATCTCGTCATGTTCTTGTTCCTCGATGACATGAATTTTCACCAGGACATAGCGGGAACGGGAGAAACGAAAGCTAGCTTTGTGCTCCCATAATGACACACACTAAGTTTACATAATCTAAAATGATCTTGTTAAGTCAAAACGAATTCTACGATTGGCGTATGGCCTTATCACGTTGAAACACCTGTTCTCGTACGATTACCGTAGTTAAGCAATGTCAATACCTAGATGGGTGACCGCTTGAGATACCAGATACTGTAAGTTTGGATGTGCGGCTGGTATAAAGAGCTTATGGCTATATGACGTTGAAAAACCGATTTTTATACGATCATCGAAGTAAAGCAACATCAAGTCTCATCTGTATCTAGATGGTCTAGGTAGTTGCCTGAGGATACGAGGTGCTGTAAGCTTGAATGTGTGCGTGGTATGGTTTGCGGCCATATCACGATGAAATACCATTTCTCGTACGATCACCGTTGTTAAGCCATGTCGAGCCTGGTCAGTACCGAGATGGGTGAACGCTTGAGAATACCAGCTGTTGTAAGCTTGGATGTATGGATGGTATCAATGGTTTACAGTTATATCCCTTTGAAAAACTGGTACGTTCACCGAAGTTAAGCAACGTCGAACCTCGTCAGTACCTAGATGGGTGACCGCTTGGGAATCCAAGTGCTGTAATCTTGGATATGCGTATATCGTTTACCACAATAACAGACATTAATTTCTTTCATAAACAGGAACTTTGCTGGCAGAAATTGAAAGAATAAATGTCCTTTTGCATTGTACCTCTAAATATTAGTAAACAGGATAAATCTGCAATAAATACCCATAAGTAAGTATGAGTGTGTGTGTGTGTGTGTGTGTGTGTGTGTGTGTGTGTGTGTGTGTGTGTGCATTTGCAATAATCGCTTGTGTGTGTGTGTGTGTTCCAAGTCATAAAAGCAGTAAATACAATCCTTCAACTCTTGGTTCCACCGATTCCTCTGCAGGAAGAGCTCGCTGTTTCTTCTGCTGAAGGAACTCTGTCGTTCTTACGACGTCGAACAGATTAACGGCTCAGGACTGGAAGCAGGAGAGCCGAGTTCCAATTCTAGTATGTTTCGTTATATACACTTACGCGCAAATACCCGCTACGTCTTCTTCTCCCAACTACGGTTCAGTTAGTAGAACTTGTATCAGTAAAATTGTTATCTCCAAAAAAATCTTAGAATCTAAAAATATCTCCTGATATCTACTTTGAACCCTGACCACCGCTTTACCGGTGATTGAGAAAAATAACGTAATATCTAACCACTGGTTGAACAATGGTAGAGAAAAATGATTTAATGCCCAGCCACTGGTTGAACAGTGGGTAAACTCTTCTATCTTTATGTCTACCCTGAAATATTACATACCAATTATTTGCGAATTTTGACTCAGGAGCAAAGGCAGAAGGGTTAAAATTCTTCAGGAACGCAGGGTTCAATAACCTGCGAAAGGTTCATAAGCCATAAAACAAATCAATCAGATCATTTAAGATAAGCGCTCGTGTGTATGCGTCTAGTCATAGAAGCACTAAAAAGAAGCTTTCGATTCTCAAGTGCTTCCAGCACCACATGTGAAATTTCTTTGCCCTATCCTACCACCTGAGACTTCTAGCATCCTTTGTTTCGCCAACTCGTTTCTGTTTTCGCCTTATTAGTTGGAATCCAGTTTATTGAAAATACAAATAGTTTCCGCACTTAGGTCACACATTGAAGTGACTTTATCCCGTCCGACATACGAGGTTTGATCAAAAAGTATCGGAAATGGTGCTATAAAAAGAAAAATACAACTCATATCAAACCATCATGTAAACTTCTAAATAGTCCTCTTTTGAAGCCACACACGTTATCCAGCGTCTCGTCGCATTCTCTGATGTCATGAAATCTGGTTTCTCTCAATTGGAATTTAATTTTTGGAAAGAGGGAAAATCGCAGGTTCGAGATCTGGGGAGTACGATGGTTGTCGAACCTGGGGAATGTAGCGCTTGGCCAAAAACTGCTTCACAAGCCATATTCACCAATGGAACCTCTATGGTGTGGTGAGACGACCACACTCTACGCACTTTCCTTTCAAGCACTGGTAGGAAATTAGCAAGAACGTTATATCTTAGCGTGTATGCGCGACAAGTGTTCAAGCCCTATCTATACCAAGTGGCCTCACTCTGCGTAATTTAGCTCCGTTACCATAGCAACAGTGCCGATACTTTTTGGTCAGACCTCGTAAAATTGTTCAAAATCATAAATTCGATCTCGATAATCTATCATTTCATGATTCAGAATATATTGGGTGCTTCCAAGATGATGAGATGGTGCCGAGGGAGACCAATGTCGAAGACGTAAAAGAATGTGTTTCCATCTGCCAAGATTCTGAATTTCCGTTTGCTGGTTTGAAGGTGAGTAGGAAAAAATATAATTTTCTTTCATTATTATTGGATTTCAATCTTTTGCTAGATTCCACACATCGTAAGTTCGGTGGAGTTGTGCAATTGATACTGCGACCAAAAATGATAAATTCGTTTTATCATTTATTTTTTCATATCAGTCTAGATTAAGCATCGACTATGAAAAAAAATTTACTAAATTTTATAAAATATAATAGAAAGATTCAGTATGTTATGATTCATTGTAAACTGACGACTCTTCTTCCTCTGTGTGCCGCGTCTCTTCAGGGTGTAGGCGATGATGGCTCTCCACAACTTTCTATTTACTGTGGCAGTTTTTCTACCTTTTCTAAGGCCCTCACCTACTTTCTGCCGGCCATTCACACAAGCTCGTCAGGTAAAATGGCTCGCTGCCTTCCCCTATTTCAACTGCTCCTCAACATGCCCCTAGGGTTGAGATTTTTCCCAAATCTTTCTTCCTCATTATGTCCAAGGAATTTCATCTGTGTTTTCGTGATTCTGAGTCATATTCTTTAAGATTTTCTTGTTGCGTACTCGCTCCGTCCATGGAATTCTCAGTATTCTTCCGCGGAAAAAAAAACTAATTAGTCATCTGAAGTACTTAAGAAAGAGGCTTTTTTGCCGATCCCGGTAAAATAGACAAATATGCTTTTAAGCTTATTTTACCGGTCTCAGTAAAATAGGCCCCACTCAGCTATTTTACCGATAATTCTTTTTATTATTATGAAACCAGTTAATGTTCAAAATAACAACACACAGATTTAACACAGAAGTTTTTTTTTTTCACCATCGGTTGTTAAGACAATATAAAATCTTTTCCACCATCAATCGTTAAAAGACAAGTTAAAATCATTTCGTCATCATCAATTATTAAAAGAAATATAGAATCTTTGAATATTTTAAGTACTTCAAGCATAACAGTCTCTGCAAATCCAAAATTTTAGGTGCACTGACGGAAGACAATAGTCACAGATCACAGAATCCATGTTGTTCTGCCGAAACAACCACTGGAGGATTTCTTAATGAATGGAGTTGGTTTATCAAAGTGGCATTGTCTAAGTTATGATCAGCAGGTTCAGGAAGAGGTTCTGGAACTGCACAGAGCTTTGCACAGGTTGTTTTGGTTCTTCTGTGGCTGTAGATGGTTCTGTATCGATAGGAGGATGCTGATCATTCTAAAGCACTATTTACCGGCAAAATAGCCTTGTTATCTATTTTACCGGGACCGGCAAAATAAACTATTCCTATTAAGAAAAAAAAAAAAAGAACTCCCGATGACAAATTTGATTTTTTTTTTAATTTTATTTTGCTTTTTACATTTTAAGAAATCACATCGTAGGAGCATATTCCCATACACACACAGACACACACACACGAAGTGCGATGGGTACATTTTCGCTATTTTATATTTTTAATTTTGCGCATGTGTGTTTGTTTTTTATTTTGTCGACTGCACAGTATGGTAGGGTCAGTCGGGAACCGTCTGTAAAAAAGAGCACCATGACGCAATTTAGTCCGCCAGAAATTTGGAAACGGCATGCTGTACTGCTTGGCATTCGCATCGGAAGCTCCAATACGAACATTTCAGAAATTTTGGGTGTCAATCTGATAACAGTGCAGAGGATTCCGAAAAAGATGGATGATATATCCAGTCAACATCATGGTGTTTGAAATGATCACTAGTGATGGCGACGTTACACCTCCACTCATCTTCCCACAGGGCCTCAGGCTTAACACGGAGGCCTACATGTAGTGCCTTGAGAAGGTAGTGCTACCCTGGGTCAAGTGGGCAATGGCGATTTTATTGAATAAATTTACTCTTTATTATTTGAAGATATTTTTGTGTAATTTTGGTAAATATATCTGTTAAGATGAGATGTCAGTGTTATTTTCATTTCTGCGTAATTTCGACAATTTATCCATTACACCCCCCCCCACATACATATATCAGGGTTTGTCTGACGATCGCAAAAGCGTGAAACCCAGGGTCACAAACTCACATCAATCCAACTAAATATGTTAGTTCTATCTATGATACTGAGCGCTTTATAATAAGTACCGCGCATATAATATATATATATATATATATATAATTATATTTATATTTATATACACACACTTTTCACACACACACACACACACACACACATATATATATATATATATATATATATATATATATATATATGTATGTATACTGCAGTTAAAAAGTTTGAGGAAACTCCTGGCAATTCTATATCATTAATGTTTGTCGGGGTCATTAAAATCTTTTATAAAATATAGTATTGGCATAACTTAGATGCTAAAATGGTTCCTTACTAAAATATATTTTTTTAAATCTCTAGCCATATTTTTTTTAAATAACGTGTGTATCTATCTCGAGTGTGTGTTTGTATATATGTCTATGCGTTAGTGTGTTAATATATCTCTTTGTAAATTTTTAGTTTAAATCATTGTACGTTTATGAGCATTACTGCTGACTGATATCAAATTTCCTCAAAAATACAGTCATACTCCTCATCCCAACCCTTCACTCGGCGAGTTAAGGCTGCGACTTCCTTTGATTTTCGCCGACTTGTCGAGCTAAATTTAATTTGCCCTTTTTAAAATTTATACATTGTGCTAAAAAAAACTTATACTGCATGGAATAAATTATTTAAAATGGACATTTGAAAAAAATAAGTTGAAATAAAAATGTGTTTTTTGAAAAACAGGGTATAGAATTCATTAGAGATTTTTAAAATTTTATTTATAAAATTAAAGCAAAATATATCGCCTATTATGTCTATTTATGAATTAAAGCAAAATACATCGCCTATTATGTCTGTCACCGGTCAGGTAGAGTTCGGACCTACGCTGCCCGACTAGCCACATTAATTTAATTTCATTCTTTTTTTACTTTCTTTCTTTGTTTTTTTCTTTCTTTCTTCTTTATTATGAACAATATCAACGAAATGTATTTCAGTCAATATTTTGAGGCACGGAGTTAAAATAATTAATGTTGGCTCCAGCTGAAGTCAAGAATGAAGACGACGCACTACGAAAGATTTTTGTTGCTTTAAAGTAGATATACTTGAATGTTGATTATTGCGGGCTAAACCCGACAAGGCCGACCCTATA